TGAAAATCTATGGGGACTTCTTGGCATGAACTGTCGTCCAATTTTTAAAAGTTTTGGGGATTTCACATTAAAGTTCATATTTCCATCCTCTCTTGAAGATAAAGAGATCTGACAACACAGCCTCCATTTTCCCATGCAATATTTGGCCAGAGATGATGTCCTTAGATGGGATTATGTACCCTCCATTTGACCTCGGTCCCCACCACTCCCTAGTAATTATGCTTAACTCATTTTTCTCATTTATATTACCTGTCTGGTGCTAAGATGCTTTTTGGATATATGATATATTAGACCATCTCCCCAACTCATTTGACAAGTGTGTGTATCTCTGTGTGTGTTCCGTCCTTAAGTAGTACAGATAGAGCCCAAATTAAAGAGGGTTTTTATTTGGCCGTGACACAATCATCAATGGTATGTGTCCTTAATTGGGCACTTGATTAATGGAAGTTTTACGGATCTCTGGGATGAAAGACCCTTCCCAGGACCAGGTACTCAGAAGATGGCTGCAGTTGGAAAACTTCCCTGGTCAAAGGAGCCATTTTCTCTACTGAAGAGCTGACATAAATAGGAAGACTGTCCATCAGCCAACTATTTAAGGTCAAACTTTGACATAGCCTTGAGGAAATGAAAACTAAAGCCACCTGCACCCTTCTCTGAAGGCAACAGAACAGAGACAGCTAAAAGCAAGGAAGCACACACATGAATATGTGCCCAGATATGTCTTCCCACAGATATGTATGAATATGGATCTAGAGGCATGTATGTTATATGTCAACATATACATGGCTTTGGGAATGCTAGAAAAATCCCTGAAGGGAGAATGGGAGTAAGTGGCAGCTTGTAAGAGACAGAAAGGAAATGAATCTAAGAACTCTCTCTCTCTTTTAAGATTTATTTATTTGGGAGAGAGAGAGGGAGAATGTACATGCTCACGCTGGTGGGGGGAGGGACAGAGGGAGAGGATCTCAAGCAGACTCCCCATGGAGCACCCCATTTCAACATGGAGCTGGATCTGAGGACCCCCAAGATCACAACCAGATCTGAAGCCAAGAGTCGGATGCTCGACAGACTGAGCTACCCAGGCACCTCCTAGGAACTCTCTTATGAGTGCTAATGTGAAATCACAAAAAGATCATTTGTGGGTTTTGGAGTCAGATGGCCTTAGGCTTAAGTTCCAGCTTCACCACATATTAACTGTATGACTTCAAGCATTTTAGTAAACCTCTCTGAGCTCTACTATTTCATTCTCTGAAATGGGTGTACATATTCCTACCCTATAGGGTTTTCTAGGACCTGACCCATGGTAGATGCCAATAGATACTGTTTCTTCTCACCAAGTTGAACCTACTGATGGGTCTTGCCTTGTTTTGCCTCCTGGTGCCCAGTACTCTCTGGTACTCTGAAGTGGGAGCAGATCTAAAGTTACCCTTTCATTTTCCATAAGTGGGTCTTGTAGACAGCTTAGAGAAAGAAGGGACCTGGTACTAACTTGGAACTGTTTCATACTCAGAGAGTTTTCTTTTTAATTTTTTTTTCTTAGAGAGTTTTCTAACCAACTCTTTTGGGCAGTGGTTTTCCTGGTGTGTACTATATTCTGCAAATGATGGGCCCAAGGAAACCAAATGCAGTATGCATGATTTTGGTGCAATGGGTCAAGACCTAGGAGCCTTGAGACAGCTGGCTGGTTCCAGACTTCCAGTACTTTCACGCCCCTTCTGTCCATCCCATGTTCTCTACTCCCAGGTGAGAAGCCCTTTGCATGGAATCTCCACTTCGGAGTTGAGCTGTGGCCATGCCCATCACCTGTGCTCTTCTGGTATGCCAGGCCTCCTTCTCCCCAGGGGGATCCCACTTTGCCCTCCTGATTCCAGGAGGATCCCTCATGGGTGGTGTGCACCAGGTCTGTGCTCTTTGGTTGGGGCTGGACAGGTGATCAGAAGCTGGGTGGATTCTGTAGCTCTGACCCCACTCTTGCTATCCCTGGTTCCTGTTTTTCCCATCCCATTCCACCGAGCCTCTGTTTGCATTATTTATCAGACCTTAGGGATTGGATGAAACATTGTTGGCCACAGGACAAGCTGGGAACATGGTCAGCCTTTGAATAGGACTCTCCCCACAGTCTCTCTGTTATTTCTTGCTCTTCTTCTCTTCATAGTCATCTTTCCTGTCTATCTTCAGACTCTGGCATTCCTTACTCCCCTGCGAAGCATGGCATCTTCTTCCCTTGTCTCTCCCTTACGTGCAGTGCCTCCTCCAAGGTTACACGTCCTCCCATCTGAACAACCGGGACTTCAACAGCTCTCAGTTAAATGTTAGCAAGAAAGTAAGCTGACCTAGCCCATGTCTGGGAGTCACATATTTGCCTTTCAGTTATCAATGTGTGGCTTAGTAGGTCTGTGTCTTTAGAAATGAGATGTAATCTTTCTGGGTTGAATGTGCACATTTTTAACGTGCATACGATAACATCTATTTTGTTGGGCTCACTGTCGTTTTCTTTTTATAAATAATAAGGAAATTCTTTTTTATTTCTTTATCCTTTTTTGTCTCCTTGAACTGTACATCCTAGAAGCCAAGACTGAGTATGTATGAAAGATTAAAGATCTGTCTTGTGTGTGAAGAGCCCAAGTAGAAAAAACATAGGACTTAATTCTGGCTTCAATTTTTGGATGGGTGACTTTTGGCAAGTTACTGAAACTTTCTAATTTTTTATGGTATCATCTTTAAAATGACAATAAAAATAATATCTCCCTCATGCCTAGGATTGTGAAGACAATTATATACGAGGGAATGTGTGATGGTGCTTCTGCACAGTAAAAATCTATACAAATATCAGAGTCAGCTACTGCTGGGGTACTCCAACTTGTGGCTGGAGAGCCCTTTGAAGCCTCTCTGACCTGCTCTCTGACCTGCTTTGTCGCCTTCCTTCTCTTCTGCTATGTGGTTGTGAATTTGTGGGCAAAGGGAAGTGGAGGCATGTACATGATTCTCCATAGCAGCACTATTCCTAACAGCAAAAACGTGGAAACCTTCCAAATGTTCATCAAGCAATGAATGGATAAACAAATCATGACGTATTTTTGCAATGGAATATTATTCATCCATAAAAAGGAATGGAATGGACCTTGAAAGCATTATGCTAAGTAGAAGAAGTCAGGTGCAAAGGCCACATAGTGTTTGATTCTATTTACATGAAACGTTCAGGATAGGCAAATCCATGGGAGACACCAAGTAAACCAGTGGGTACCTAGAGCTGGTAGAGGTGGGGATGGGGGATGGGAGGCAGAATGACTGCTAATGGGGAGGCGTTTCTTTCTGGGAGGATAAAATGTTTTAAAATTGACTCTGTTGCTGGCCACACAACTGTGTGAATACACTAGAAATTGTTGAATTATATAATTTAAATGGGTGAATTGTACGGTATGCAAATTATATCTTAAGGAGGCTGTTATATATATATTTTTAAAATGGGGCGCCTGGGTGGCTCAGTCGGCTAAGCATCTACCTTCAGCTCAGGTCATGATCCCAGGGTCCTGGGATCGAGCCCCGCATGAGGCTCCCGGCTCAGCAGGAGCCTGCTTCTCCCTCTCCCTCTGCCTGCCATTCTGCCTACTTGTAGACTCACTTGAACTCTCTCTCAAATAAATAAAATCTAAAAAAAAAAAAAAAAAATGGAGATAAAACCTTGCTTTTCCTCTTTTCCCCCCATAGTTGGAGCCCTGCAGGGGACCCACTGACTTGCGTCCGCTTCCTGCTCATCACTGCTGGTTTCCCCCTGTCTGCTTTGGACGGGTCCAAACACTCTCTAACAAGCTGCCTTGACTGGCCCCTTTGGTTTGACTGCACTGAAGACTAATATCAAACTCCTGCCTTCTGTGCTGTGAGAGTTTCAAAGGACAGGGGACTCAACCTGGTGCTCCTTCCCAAGCCCATCTCCTGCCCCCACCTGCGATTACCTCAGTGTCTGATAAGGTAGATACAAAATCCATCTCTATTGCATAAAGTGTTGATGGAGAAGGTTGGGGTGGAGGTAAGAGGAAGTGACTGCTAATGGGAAGGGGTTTCTTTCTGAGGTCCCTTGAAATGTCTTAAAATTGATTGTGCTGGTGCCTATGTGTTATTTGCATAACAAAGGGATACTGAAGTTCCTTTACAGAAGGGTTTCTTTACTTTCCTTAGGGCACGTAGAACCTTACAGGGACCTGGCAGAGTTCTCCCACTGATTCCTTAGCAGCTGCTTAGCCGAGAAGGGGCTGAGGGACATGTTCAAAGTCAGAGGGCTACAAGGCTGCCTAGCTGCCAACACCCACCCTCCTCCCTCCTCGTGATGCCTCTGTGACCCCACAGAGCACAGACAGCATGTGAGGGGAAAGTGGTGGGGAAGGATGAAGACTACGGAAGCTCTAAGTCACTGTCAAGGAAATGTAGGCAAAGCATCTCCAACACGTGACAGCAAGTCCCTAGAGACTCCATGGCCTCTTTGGGGACACAGCCAACAAGCTGCTCCTCTGGTGCCAAATACACTTACCACCTCCCCCACCCCCACGGTGACCCAGCCCTGCTCAGCCCCACTCAGGCTTGCTTTCTTAGCAGCAGTGAGAACTCTCTTGGCCTTGGCAACATGGAAACATCCAGGCTGGGAGCTGAGCGCCCCACGTGATTGCTCAGGATACTCTGCTGCAGGGCTCCCCACACCCTGTCCCCCCGCCCCTTCCCCTTCCCCCTCCCTGCCGCCCCTCCCCGCTCTGCCGGGTCAGGCTCCTCCACCGAGAATGAGGCTCTGAGCTCCCAGCTTCACTCCCTACTTAGAAAATCCCCACCAGGCAAAGCCAAAAAGACACCACTTACGGCATCATTAAATTATAACGAGCCCTGAAACTCACTCCAAAAGCCCGGGTCTGTTTGCCCTTGCGGTCCGAAGGGAGCAGGCGATTGGTTGGCCCTGTTCGCCTCGCAAGCCTTATCTCAGGCTGGTTATTATTTGATTAAAGAGGCTTCCTCCTCCTCTGGTGTTTCAAAACTGTGCTGGGAGGGTTTGCTGCAGCCTGGGGACTTTTTCTGAGGTTACTCCCGAGCACTCAAAGTCCTTCGGCCTTCAGCAGTACAAACAGACAGCCAGACGCCGCCACACACGGGGGCTGTCTTCCGAAAAGTTTCCATCAGCTTTGCACATCAGCTGGTTGAACATAATTCTTCAAACACTACAGAGTCAAGGATACAGGTATTAAAGGTAATTTTTTTGGGGGGGGCGCCTAATTTCTTAGGATGCCATGACACTCGAAATGGGGATATGGTTGGAGCTCTGGGCTCAGAGTGGAAAGCAGGAGAGGCGGAGAAAGTGGAAAAAGGAAGTGCAAGAAAAAAAAATTCAGAATCTTGGAATTCTACAGAAAGGCAAGGCCAAGGGGTGAGTTATTTGCAGCTGGAGAGAGGTGTGAGCACGATCAGCAGGTCTCATTGGCATCTGAGCGCTTTTGCTCCCATGAAGCCCTTCCTGAGGTCTGTCCCCTTGGCATGTCCGTCATCCTCCCCACTGGCTCAGAACCCCAAAGTCCTTACAGGGTTTTGGACGCTGTGTGAGCAGTCCAGTTGCTTTAGCTTGAAACTTATCCGATCTGACTTGCAAATGGGACATGGCCCTCAGAGGGTCTACTTGACGCGCCAATCCTCTTGATGCTGACCGCAGAGAGGGGCAGAGTGGGGCTGAGCCCCGCATTTATGAGAATTTCTTTCCCACCTTGCAAAGATCTCTGTGTGCTGTGCATGGCCTGTTCTCATCCGGGCCATGCCCCCACCTCAGCTGGGCGGGTAGGGGACAAGTCCGAGGACTTCCCCTGCTACCCATGCAGGCTGGGCTCCGTGGGGTGCCAGCAGGGGTTTAGAGACCTGGACCGAGGATGAGGACAGGAGTATCCTCTCTCATGGTGAGGTTTGGTTGGAGCTGGCCAAGGAGGGGAGGAGAGGATGCAAAACAAGAAAAACATTTTATTTTGCCATTAAATAGAAAAAAAGGCTTTTGGGGTAAATTGGTATTAAAACTGGTTTTTCCCTCCACATGTTAGATGACTGCGTCTCCTCTCTCTAGTCATGGCAGTTCTTTTAACAGCCAGATGCTTCCATTCGGGATGTCTTAATTCTGAATGGGCTGTGTCCAGGTTGTTTGTGCTTTGCTGGCGTGGGATGGGATGGGATGTTGGCATCACTGCCCCCAAAGCTTCTCCATGGGATGGAGAGCCCTTCTTCCTGCTGAGGACTCTGCCACCCCCCAGGAATTTTCTCTGCCCAGGCCCCCCACTGGATTTCCTGACACTCTTTAGAGTAATGGTCAGAGGAGTTCATCAAAGTAAATCCTGATTCCCCCTCAAAATTTTAAGGGAAATCACAAGAGGGAGGACAAGCTCAGAGCAGGGGGGCTGTACCTCTTGGACCTGATTTCTTTCCTGCTCCTTTGGGAACACCTCCACCCTTTACCATCGTCTGGATGGTGTGGATCTTCCTCTCTCCCCATTCTCCATCTCTGTCCCACCACATGGGGACTCGTTCTTCGCACCCACCGTGGTGTCCTTATTTCATGCTCTCCTTTCTGCTTGGCGCACTCTCCCCCCTCCCCTGCCCCCTGCTCTGGCCAGGTCAACACATGACTTGGGTCTTTGAGTAAAGGCTCTTCCTCTGGTACTAGGTTCGGGTTCCTTGCACTTTGCCTCATCGGATCCCTAATCGCATTGTCTTATGATTGCTGTGTCTTCATCCATGGCCTCCCCTACACCGGCAGCTCTGTGAAGCCAGGGGTTTTACACTTGTTGACTCAGTTCTCATAACATGCCTGTGAGGTGAGTGTCAACCCATTTAACAGACGGGAGAGCTGGATTAAGAAACAAGTTCACCGGGTAAATGGTGGGCTTCAGAACCCGTGCTTCCACTCCTGTGCTGCGTGCCAGTCTGGTTCTGAGTGAGTCCATGCGAAACAAATGACTAGTGTCAGGGTAATGAGCAGAGCATGAGGCAATGCTTCCATCTGCTCCGCTGAACCGTTCCCTCCACTGAGAGGACAGCTCAGGAACCACAGTGCAGGTTGTGGGCAAGGCTTTGAGGACGTGAGGACGTGGGAGTAAGTGGGCACAGACCCTGACCAGAATGGGTCTTCGTTTCGAGCTCTGTCCTCTGTGTCAGGATCGGCTTTCCCCATCAGTCTCTTGCCTACCTTTGTAGCCAGGTTTAATCCCTTCTGGGCTCCATCCTGGAGACTGAGAAGGGCTCCAGATCAGGAATTTGGCCAGCCTTGAAGGGGGTCCTTCAGGAAACCATCATGGCCAGATGCTTGGAGTCCATCAGATGTTGTGCTGAGGGCTCTCCTGCCAGATCTCATTCGTGAGGGAGGGGGTCAGGATCATCCTGTGTCTTAGAGGAACAGACTAAGGCTGGGAGAACCAGCTTTCCCAAGCTGGTAAGTGCGAGAGCTGAAACTCAATTCCCGATGTATCTGACCTCAAAGCCGGTGCCCTTCCCACACACCAGGGGCTTTCACACGCACTTAGCTTTGAGCTCACTGGATCCCCTCTGAAATTCCCGTCAGGCAGATAGTCCTGCTCCACTGTCTGCCTTCCCAGTTGCTGAGTGCGGATCCCCTCACTGTGGTGTGGTCCTCAGCGTTGTCTTCCCTGCCCGGACCATGGTCGAACATGGGGCTTGACAAGACCAGGGACTGTTTGGGGGCATCTGGTCCAAGAACATCACAGCCAAAAAAGCCTCAACCAAGGTCCCCAGCCTAGGGGGATCTACAAAGTCTGAAAACCTTTGTTAGAAGAGTAGTAAAACATTGGGAGGGTCATTCACTGCTGAATTTCTCTTTTTCTACTTGTTATTTATGTTGTCTAAGTTCTAGTCTTCCTCATCTGGAAAATAGGTATAACGTATCTCTCTTGGAGTTACTTGGAGAATAGATATTCTGTGTTCACTGAATGTGGGTGTGTGCCTGCCATGTGTGAGGCACTGGGATACAGTAGAGAATCAGGCAGAAGCAGCTCCCTTCCCTTGTGGAAGTTACAGTTGGATGGGGGGCAATAGGCATTAAAAAAAAATTACACAAATAATTAGTTCCCGTTGTGGTGAGAAAAAGAACAAAGGACCTCATTTAGATGGGGGTGGCGAGCTAGTCAAGAAAGACTTCTCTGATGGACCAGTAGCATATGAGCACCTATCATGCCTCCAGAATGTAGTAGGTGCTCAGTATGTGTGACCCTGGCCAACTTCCGGCAAGTCTCTGGGACTCAGAGGCTGTGAGTCTAAAGTGTGTGTGATGGGGGGTGGACTGAATAATTCCTCAGGCCGAGTTGCCCCTATCCAGTATTTAAAATTCCCTTGATCCATAGCAAGATAGAGACAGATTAAAAGAGACTCTCCTGACTCCTTGTCCAGTGCTCTTCTACCCAGCCATCTCCATGGATGGAGAGAGTCCAGGGCATTGGAGTCTAAATCAAGGAGGCCAGGAGGAAGACTTGGCTGATTCTGTCTCCTGGAAGTCTCTTTCTCTAGCACCTCCTTCCACTCCCCAGCTACAACTCAACATCCTTGCTCCCTGGGGGGTCACTCCTTCTAGATGGAAATCCCTCAGCCCCTTCCCAGGCCCAGAAAACAGGTTCTCTGTGTCTTTGCCCTCCAGGTTCCTGCATGTCCAGCTTGGATGATTAACCCTCCTGTGGCCATCCTCTCTGATGGTGAGATCGCAAGCACAGGCAGGCTGGGAGGGGGAGCTGTGAGTTGAGGATTTGGGGAGGGGCCCATCATCTTCCTTGGCTGCCCATGAGTGCTCCCAAGGCGGCCCCCTTCCCCCACCCACACAGCCTACCCCAGGAGCACCATGTTCCTTTTGCATTGCACAGAGTGTCTTGTGTAAGCTCTCTGGCCAGGGTTTCAGTGACAGCCCTTGTGAGGAGCTGGTTAGCATTTTTTCCAGACAAAGCCAGAAACTGGGGGGTGATGGAAAGTCTAAGCTTGCCAAGCATGATGAGAGGAAATGATCAGTTTCAGGCTCCTGAAAGAATGGTCTTTAATTCTCTCCCACCTTCCCCATGTGGGACCCTGTCCCCTTGTCCTCCAGGGGCATATCAACTCTCTATCTCCTCTTCCTTACCGGGGGCCACACTCTTGCCTTCAGCTGTCTGTTAGCCGATCCCTACCTACTGTTTGCTGGTCATAATGCTTAGTAGGACCTCCCAGGGACATCAGTGTTTTAGCCAGTGATGCCTAAGGGAGCAATAATGGCAGGAAGACAGGCTATAGGATTGATCCTTCAAAGCATACCACTGTCTTTATATGAACTCAGGATTTGAAAACCTTTCTTTGGTGGTGGTGGTGGGGTTGGTCAAAGAAGATTGGATGGATATTGAGAAAGGAACAAAAATGCTGTATAATAAATGATACATTACCCCAAGAGCATTTCCAAAGAGACTTTGAGTAGCAAGTTGTACCCTGAGGCAAATCCTCCCCAGTGGGTCATAAAAGGAAAGTGACAGGATATTTGCAATGGAAAGCACACCCTCCCCATTCAGTTCCCAGATCTTGCAGCCTTGCTGATCTTACCAGGGTGAAGCTGGCTTCTCTGGCCATGAGCAGCATTTTAGGTGTATAATGGGGCTCCAAGCTGCCATGCTGAGCCAGTGGTAATGAAAATCCTCCATGGCTTCTGAGTCCTCTCCCCTCCCCATGCTCCCCATGCTCCCCTCCCCAGCTCCCCATGCTCTCCTTGCCTCCAGGCACTTGCTTCATGAGCTTTGCATTTGACCTCCAATCTGCCCTATGGGTCTGGCAGGAAGTTTAGCTGCGGCTGGCTCTGTGCATTGAGCTTCAACCTCTTGCCAGAAATCAAATCGGCTAAAAAACAAACAAACAAACAAACAAACAAAAAAAAGCAACTACCCAAAATGAGTTTTCAAAGAAAGCAACATCATTTCCCCATGACTTCTTCTGCAGAGAGGAGTGGTTGCTGTGGAACTTAACCAGAGGGCTGCTTGGTAACAGCACAGATGAGGTTTGCTTTTTGTCAGTTCCAAATTATAAGTGACTGTGAGGAACAGGGACCTGGGAAAATGGAAAGCCTTGGGACTGAAAGCTCTTCTCTGACTTGGCAATGGGAAAACCAGGGGGATCAAGCAGCAGGTGGTGGGCAGGAGATTGGCTGCTCTACACCCAGCCCCGGTTTGGCCCAGACAGTTCAGGGACACAAGAGAGGTG